GGCAGCACGAGGTCTTCAGTGCCGGAGCATCATCTGCAGACCAACTCCCGGCATCACGAGCGCGAGCAGCCGCCTGCCACCTCCCAGGCCCTGCTCGCTCCCAGGACGCTGCTCGAGAAACACCTCACGATTACACATTGTGGGCTGGGTCACAGCAACAGGGACACGGGCTGTGCACAGCAGAGCCACTGCACGGGCAGCATGGAGAAGAGTTGGCCAGCGAGCGTGCTCCAAATACATCAAAATGCCACCAAACTAGGGCTTGGAGCCGAACGAGGCGGCTGCCGCACGCCGGGTGCTGCCCCAGCCCTGGGCCAGCGACATGTGGCCCTCGGCCCGGCCTCCCGTCCAAAAACACATCCTCAGCAGCAGCACACGGGGAGCTGAAACACTGCACAGGCTACGGCAGACAACGCAGCGAGGGAAACATCCCAATGAAGATCAATTCGAGCTCCAAAATGCTGACCATACACCCAGGCCCTGCTCGCTCCCAGGACGCTGCTCGAGAAACACCTCACGATTACACATTGTGGGCTGGGTCAGAGCAACAGGGACACGGGTTGTGCACAGCGGAGCCACTGCACGGGCAGCTCGGAGAAGAGTTGGCCAGCAAGTGCACTCCAAATACATCAAAATGCCACCAAACTAGGGCTTGGAGCCGAACGAGGCGGCTGCCGCACGCCGGGTGCTGCCCCAGCCCTGGGCCAGCGACATGTGGCCCTCGGCCCGGCCTCCCGTCCAAAAACACATCCTCAGCAGCAGCACACGGGGAGCTGAAACACTGCACAGGCTACGGCAGACAACGCAGCGAGGGAAACATCCCAATGAAGATCAATTCGAGCTCCAAAATGCTGACCATACACCAGGGCAAGTCTGAAACCAGAAAATGCTTTATTGGAAAGGTACAAAAAAACCAGTCACTGCAGCTAAATTTACAGCAATAAATTACGTTGTGGCTGTCAAGAGAAAATAATGGACACATACACAGGGCTATTCGCCTTACAAACAGGAATCCACATTGCTTGGTATATCAATAATTTATTTTATAATAAAAAAGCAGCACAAAAATAAATATTGAAATGAAATTACTGAGTAACCACAGAGGATAGAATGAGCTGGTGATAAAAAAACAACTTTAAACAGAAGACCTCTATCATTAAAAAAATGAAAGCAAGTATTCACCATCTACGGAAACACCCCTGCAGACTGAAATACAGACGAAGGAAAACAAATCCACATTACAAAAGTTTTTGTTTTTGTTTTGTTTTTAAATAAAAACAATCATGACAAT